CAAGATAAAGTGTAATGTGCCCGCCATGAATTACTAAATATTTAAGCGAAGGTGGAAGAAATTCTTTTAATAGAATCAAAGATTCTGAAATAATAGATTTTAGGTTAGCGTTTATAAGTTATTTAAAAAATTAAGCTTAAATAGATATGAATTATCCTCGAAAAAATAATACGATAGTTCATTTTATTTAACCAGCGTTGTTAAAATTTTTTTTACAACATTCTCCAAAAAAATCGTATTGTTTAATTACCCAAAACTGAATTAAAATGCAAAGTATAAAATACAGAACATTTATTTATTCTTATAATATTTGTTGAGGTTCAAAATAATTTAAATCTCTAATATTAGCAATTTTACATTTGGGCAAATAAATAAATTTCAAATAATACTGAGCAAATTATTAAAATCAGTTTGTATCCATAAAATATATTTATTTGTCAAACAATTCATTGTCTAAATTTCATAGTATTTAAATATTTCATTTTTTACTAAAAATAAAAAGATATAAATTCAATGAACAACTACGAAAAAAATTACAGCTTTTTTCTACCTACATTTTCTATATCCTGATCTGACAATGTTTTAATCATTTCCACTTTATTCTAAGAAGAGATTTTTAAGTGATGATATTACTGGATCAAAGCGCCAAAAGCGTAATAACTACGAGCAAATACGACGTGCAAAAATTAAGGATTTTTTTAAAAAACTCAATGACCAATTGTCAGTATGTAAGATGAATAAAGTTGAAATATTAAAAGAAGGTAAATATTCTTAATTTGTTCAACCATGTAATGATTTACTAATTTTATTATTCAACACTTTCAGCATGTGTAAAAATTGAATCGTTAACAAATGAAAACAGACAACTAGAGAATAGCATCAGACATTTAAGTGAAATTTGTCAATTTCAATTGAACGAAATCACGCGTTTATTGATCGAAAATAATTTATTGAACCAGATTTGTCAAATCCAATCAAGCCGGAACCAGTTTGAGTTTTGGCAAATTCAAATAATATATTTAAATACAAATACACCATTTTATAATAATTATCAATAGTGGTAAGATCGATATTTTGGATATATTTATATTATCGTTAAAAGTATAGAATGGCTTGATTTATTATTTAAAATGATTACTATAAGAAATTATTCTATTCTTAGTGTAAAGGAATTTTCAGTTTTAGCGCAAAAACTATATTAATTGTCAAATATAGTTAACATCCTTTCTCTCAAAAACTAGATCAGTTATTACATAATTCACCTAGTACCAAAACTAAAGTTGAAGAAGCAATAAATAACTTACTTCTAGATATTATTAAAGATTCCACCATTTGTCCAGAAACTACTGAAAAATTAATAATTAGAATTAAGTTTGATAAAAGCCTAAAAGATCTTGTTAAAGATAAAAATTTGTCATTTAAATTTACATATCAACTTAAGAATTGTAAGTAGTCTGACCACAATTTTAAAAAATGTCTGAAGTGGTGGTGAAAAGAGTAATTTGTTTACATTATACTTAGA